GTGGGAATGTATTTGATCAACTTGTTTTTAGGTCTGAAAATTCCATTTTCTGATCATCTGATTTTGGCTAGAAATGTATTGCCAGGTTGCTTAAAACATTGAGAGAAGCGATGAAATGTCCCGGACGTGAGTGCATCTCCTTGCTGTGTTGACTCTTCCAGTACTCCATATTGTTTGTGTGTGATCACTCATTAAAGCAGACAGGAAGCTCACACATGAACTTTTCAGGCTATTTGTTCTTGTAACATATGCTTTAAGAATAAGAGATCCAGGGCTGGAAAAGGTGTTGGGGACCAAGGCTCCCTCTATCTTGTTGTTCTGAAGTCTTTACCTTGTAGATTCCATCTTAAGGCATGAGATTGTCTCTCCATTTTTGCATGGTGGCCAGCAAGAGGGGTAAAAAGAGTAGGGCATGAACTTATTCCTTCCTTTCCATGTCACAAAGGAAAGTCCACTTCTCACTTCTGTATTTCATTGTCTACATGCTTATTCTTCATCTTTCTTTCACCTAAGTTTTGAGAATGAAGCAATTAATTGTTTTCTACTCTAACTTTCTGGAAGTCTTGCTTTGTCGAAGATAGCAGTTTGAGCCTATCTGAAGGTCTGCACTAAAGATAGTTGAAGGTATGTGGAGATTCTAATATATAATACCAGAGGGGGAAAGTTGGAAAAAAATCATGGAGTTACTGTGTTGACCAGAACTTCAAGAATCTCTGTGAGCATGTTAAAGTTATTCACGGAATGTGTTTTGAATACCAACTTTGGGGTGATCTTGCACAAAACCCTGACACATGTTGACAATTACGATTGGATTTTGCTCTTGGGATCCTCACAACCAAACTGACTAGCTTCTAATTGCATTCTGCAATAAAAGCTGTGGTGCGATGTCTGTTATTTCCCCATCCTCCATTTTAGAAGTAAAATAGCTTACTGTGTGTGTCTCTGTGCACAGGGTAAGGGGATAACTATACAAGTTAGTCTGATATTGGATTCTAAATGCTTTTTTCCCCCTGGATTAGTGTGTCTTGACTCATGAAAAAGTTTCTATCTAAATAATGATTTGGACTTTAACAAATGTTTTGTTGATTTGTATTTTCTTATTTGCAAAATAATATTTAATTATTACCTTTATAATAAAAAGGAGAAAATCCTTTACTAAAAAAAATTTAAAAATCCTTCATTTTATGCCCAATTGAATTTAAGGGCCTCAAAAGTTAAAAGAAAAATGAAAAGTAAGCTAGTCATTCTCTTACTTGTCACATGATGACAAGAATGTAGCTTAGAACTTAATTTTTTACATTCAGAACTTGATTTTTTACATTGAGTAGTTTTTTTCCCCTTGAATAAGTGGTGAAAGCTATGTAACTGTAGTAAAACTAACAACTCTTATGAAACAATATTTCTTTTATTGTGCTATTGGCACAACAGTGCTGGAGTTTTTGTTTTCTGTGACCACACTCAAGAATCTGGAAACTCTCCTACAACTTTGCTCTCACGTCAATAGGAGAAACTGTTTTCATATCAACAAGCAATGGGTCAGTGAAAACACAAACAGAGTAATATTTCTTAAGATTTTTGTGTACATTAGAATATTTTATGTCCTTCACAATTTTATGAGATAGTATTACAATATTGCATGTGAATAAATCCAGGCTAAGAAGTACACTGGGATTAATATCTTGTTTGTTTTTAGTTTATTAAAAAAAACACTAAGTCTATGATGAGGTAAGACTGGAAGGTCTTGCTTAGCAAGGTAGGAAAATTTAATTCTGAGGGTCATGGGAGGTTATAAAATTCATCTCAATAGGAGAATTATTGAAACAAACTTAAGAAAGATTGATCTGTGATAATGTATTCTATGTGATAGAATGCAAATTCAAGGTAGGTAACACAATCATTTAACAGAAGAGATGTAAAGTTGTAGGAGTCTAATTTAAAGTGATAGTGTCAGTGATAGTCATGAACACAGAGAGGAAAGAGCAACTGAGAGAGCCATTACTATTTGTATATCTAATCCTGAATTGTACCCCACATTCTTAAAATTAAAAAAATTAACCCTTCACTGCAAAATAGTGAAAACACTAGAATGCAAACTCCTTGAGAGCAAAGAACTTGTCTATTTTATAATTTTTAAAATATTCTGTGTGCATAGAATTATGCCTGGTACCAAGTAGGCACTCAACAAGTTTTAATTTAACAACTTAAGATAAAAGCAAGTGAATGCAATTGTGCAGAAAAATACTGCAAAAGTGACAGGGACAGGCAGGAAGGTTCCACAGAAGAGGGGACACTTGAGCTGTGTCTGGTGGATTGAATGAGGGCCTTCCAGGGAGACCAGTAGTAGGGAGGATGTCAAGGCTGAGGGAGGCACTCAAGCTTGTGATGTGGGGCAGTGTGGGGAGGGCTGGACAGTCACAGCAGCTTGCCGCCTCTGAAATGTTCTTTATTTTGCAGGTTGGAGCAGGTTCTGGTGCTGGACATGCAGAGCCTGGGCATCAAGAGAAGAAGCTTTGACTTACTCTAGACTTTAAGATAATGGAAGGACACCAGGAGAATTTCACTATAGAGATAGATCTAGAGAAAGTGAACAGAAAGTTGGGCAAGACCTCTTCCTGTTCTAAAGTAAAACACATGAGACTAGAGCCAGACTAGGAGGATGTTGCAACAATCTATAATAAAGATGAAAGCCTGGATTAAGGAAGTGAAGAGAGATCATGGCAAGGTGTTGGGAGAATGCAGATGTTAGAAAATAAAAGGCAAGTGATGAATTAAAAGTGTACGAGGGGACGCAGACAGTGGAGTCATGGATACAACCCAAGAGTGGCACTACATACCGAGAAGTGAAACACAGGAGGAAAAGGAGGAGGAGGGAGTCGGGGGAAGGAAAATACAGATTCAGTTTTAGGCATGTTGAATTTTAAGTGTCTTGGGGACCAGCAGATGGGTTGATAAGAGTGAACCAGGTTGAAGATATGACTTTGGGAATTGTTGGGTCAAAGTTAAGATAGGGAGATGGGTAATATCACAGTAAAGGAGTATGTTGTGAGAAAACAGGCATAGGTTCAAGATGGAATTTACATGTAAGAGTCAAGCGGAGGAAGATGGGCTAGCAAAGGAGACCAGAACAGACTGAGCAAATAGCCAGAGCATCAGCCTGAAGAGTTTGACTTAGTGGAGGCTTTAAAAAGTCATGAAGGGCTGGGCTTGGTGGTTCAGCCTGTAATCCCGCGCCTTGGGAGGCTGAGGTGAGTGGATTGCCTGAGCCCGCAGGTTTGAGGCCCGCCTGGGCAACTTGGCGAGACCTCATCTCTACAATAAATCAAAAACTAGCTGGGCATGGTAGCACGTGTCTTTAGTTCCAGCTACTTGGAAGGCTGAGGCAGAAGGATTGCTGCAGTCCAGCAGGTTGAGGCTGTGGTGGCCGGGAGCGGCCACTGCACTCTAGTCTGGGCGACAGAGTGAGACTCGAACTCAAAAAAAAAAAAAGTCATGAAGGGAACAAAGAAGGGGAATTTCAATGAGATAAATTAGACCAGAAATGCCATTACGATTCAGGGGAGATGAACACTTAAAAATGGTCATTCAATCTGAGAGATAAAGAGTGACAGGTAACTTCTCTGTGAACTATTTCAGCATTGTCACATCTAGAAGCCAGATTTTAAGTGAACTCAGAGCTAATAGGTCACAAGTCCATAGTGACATTCTTTCTCTAAAGATTCAATTGTGAAAAGGAGGAAGAAAAAGAATGGCAGCAAAAAAGGAAGCCAAGTTTGGAGCAATGCTTTTTGTGTGTGTTTATCTGTTTCATAAAGATGGGAGCAATGTGAACATGGCATCCAAGTCCTTGTCACCAGCCCAGACCAACCCCTTCTGGGTTTATCCTCTGAGTTCATGGCCTTACATTCACCTGGATGTTTGACGCATCTTGATGTTTATCCAGGCTCCTCAAGCTCAACAGTCCATCTTTACTCTAAGTCAACTCTTTCTCCTGTATCCCAAACCACCTTTCAATATGGCAGACTGAAAGCCTGTAACTAATGTTACCAACCCCTTCAAATAAGTTATCCTCCTGGATAACTTGAATGCATACACAGAACCTCCTTCCTATGCCCTGACACAGATCCTAATCCTCTCTTAACTAGACTCCATCCTCCACCCTGTATCAGAATGACCTTTCTAAAATGGGACTTTGAGGTGCCTGTCTCTTTTCTGCCAGATGCTTTGTAGGCCACCCACTGCCCATAGAATAAAGAACTAATCTCCTTATGAGGCATTCACTACTTAACCTCTGCATAACAGAAGACTCCTCTCTGATAACACCAACATGACTAGAGTTCCCTGACCACACCTTCTTGTCATGCTTTCTGCTTCTGCTTCTGCTTCCTGTCTTTATCCAGAATACCTTTCCATGTTTTCTCTGAGTAGCTCACGTATACATAACAACCGTATTTAGTCCCTCCCTCAGTCCTCCCATGGTCCCTGGCATGGTTAAATGCCATCTCACTATACTGTTGGAGTGCTCAATGCACATTATAATCATGAAGTGCCTCACACTGGTTGGGGATATCTATATGTGACTGTCTCCCCTTAAATTCTGAGTGCCTTGTAGTCACAAGCAATGTCCTGCTGCTTTCGTATCTTTGTAGTTAGGATATCACATGGCAATTAATCAGGTGCTAGGTTAACTGCACCGAGTAAGTGGAAGGGGAAGGGAAAGGTTTCGAGATGCTCAAGGGAGAAGAAAAATCCATACAGAGAAGAGAATGGAATAAGGAGATTATCTTATGGGATAACTTTGACCAGAAGAGATGTCTTTAATGATATGCCTCAGGGGAAGGAGGCAAAGGTGGAGGCCAATGAAAGTGGCAAGGCATGAAGGGAGCTTCAGGCTGAGGACTATTTTATTTGTTAAACAGGTGTTCAAACAAAATTTGGGAAAGATGGTGGCAGTGAAGAGATACATAGGACATATTTGCTGGGAAAGTAAATGTACCTCTTAAATGCAAAGACCCTAGAAACATTTTGCACCAAGATGTAGCATCTCCTAAGGCTCATTCATATACTTGAAATTCTTTTTCGAGGCAAAGTTTTAGATATGCTTGTGGCATTTTCTTTGCATGTGTGTGCCAACGTTTGCAGCTGAAGATCTTGGCTTTTCTGCCAGGCTGAGGATGCACCGCTGGAGTTGGGATTGGTTGCTGTGACACTACTGTTTGTGGAGTCCCGTGAAGCATGGCTCATGGCCAGGCTGCCAACGCTGTGGGAGGAGTAACTGTAAACCATCTCGAGAAAGGCCGATTTTGTGTTAGTCTCTTGCTTGCAAATTATCACATAGCATTTGGGGAAGAATGTGCAACACAGGACCCCATAATTGGATATTAAAATCACAATAATCTCCACCGTGGGCAGATATTTGCCGAATGTAGTCACATAGACGGGGATGAATGTGATCCAAGCTATGAAGTAGATGAGCATGCCGAAGGTAATGAACTTGGCTTCATTGTAGTTCTCAGGTAACTTCCTGCCTTTGAAAGCACATATGAAGCAAACAAAGGCCAGAATGGCAATGTAGCCCAGCATGGTGCCAAACGCAAGTGTGGATCCCTCCTCGCACTGCAGGATGATGACTCTGGGCAGGGAGACATTCTCCTCCACAGCAGGCGGTGCCAAGACCAGCCAGAGTGTGCAGATGACCACCTGGACCCCTGTGCAGGCAGAGACCAGGGGGACTGGTCTATAGAGGCACTTTAGAAGGTTCTGCAACTTGGGGTCAAAGCTGAAGGCTAGCAGGATCTTCAGAGACTTGATCAAAATGCAGGAGATGCAGAGAGTAAAGCTCACTCCGAAGAGCATCTGCCGGGCTTTGCATGTGAAGTCCTGTGGCTCTCCAATGAAAAAGCCCGTGCTGGCGAAGTTGAGGAAGTGACAGAGGAGGATCACATAGCAGACTGGTAATCCCCCAGATGATTTCACAATGGGTGTGTTCAGGTTTCTTGTAAATATGATGCCAACAGCCAGAACAAACAGGCTTCCCAGCAGAGAGAGACCCAGCAGCAGGATGGCCAAGGAGTCCTTCCAGCCTAGGTATTCTACTTCCTTCTCAAGGCAAGCAGGGCTCCCCACGGGAGCCCATTGTGTCTCGTTGTTGCATAAAAGGCAATGATCCATATCTAAAGACAGAAGAGACTCCGTCACATAGCATACATTTAAACTAGGCGACAGCCCTCAGTCCTACAGAGGAGACCCCTCCTGTAATAGTCCAGACTAGAGGATAGATAGAGATAATTGTCACATTGGTTACTTATTAAAACATGCACAGATCCAAAGAAAGTGAGAGATAAAGGCCAAAGTGAGGGGAGAGGAAGGAAGGAGAAGGGGAAAAAAATGCCCGTGAGAGCCGTGTGCTACAGAGAAGAGCAGAGGAGGTCCTTTTAGATAACCCAGCTTCCAGCTTTGCCTTCAAGGTGTCTTCAGTGCTGAAAGCAACTTGCCCTGGTTATCCAAAGTCAACCTAGAGAGAACCTTTCAAGACACTTGTATATCTTTTTTGGGAAATAAATGTTATGTATTCTCTTGGTGTTTTTATTTCTCTCATTTGGAGGATAGTAGCTATATACAATGTAGCCTGACACTTCCCCTAAACCCCACCAATTATCTAATTAATTAGGCAGTACAGTACCTCTCAGGTTGGGATACATGGCGTTTTTTTTTTTTTTTTTTTTGAGACAATGGCAAAAAATGAATCTTGGAATATTTTCATTGGTATATGTCTTCCCTTGAAGCCAATAAGAAAAAGAATAAGCACTCGGTTACTATCCCAGCTCCGGGTTTCTCGGTTTTTATAGAAGATGAATAGAAGTGCCCCAATAAACAAGGAAATATGATACTTTTAATTTAATATGATGCTTAATTCAGGGACAGTGCTGATAGTTCCTCTTGGGGCTGCTAGGCTGCCGATCTCACTCTTGTACTTTGTGTATTTTGCTCTGGTCTTGTCAAAGATAGGGCTGACAAACAGTCAGTGACTCCATCCCATCTCTGTCAATAACTCCTCCCTTGGCTCACAGAAGCTTCTTTCTTTTTAGGTCTGACTTCTACCTTTTGGTACAAATAATAAGATTGCCAAGATAAGCTCTCTCTCTCTCTCTCTCTCTCTCTCCCTCTCTCCCCCTCCCTCCCTCCCCCCTCCTTCCTTTATTTCTTTCTCCTCCCTCTTTCCCTTTCTTCTTTACTTCCATTCTCTCCCTCCGCCCCTTCTTCCTCCTTTCCTTATTTCCTCCTCCCTCTCTAATGCCTTCCTTCCCCCCTCCCTCCCTCCTTTCCTTCCTTCCTTCTTCCATCTTTCCTTCTATTCTCTCCTTCCCTTCTTCCTTTCCTTCCTTCTTTCCTTCCATTTTCTCCTTCTCTCTCTCCTTCCCTTCCTTCTTCCTTCTTTCCTTCCATTATCTCCTCCCTCCTTTCCTTCCTTTCTTCTTTCATTTCATTCTCTCTCTCCCTCTCTCCCTCCCACTCTCCCTCCCTCCCTTCTTTCCTTCCATTCTATCCTTTCCTCCCTCCCTTCCTTTCTTCCTTCTTTCCTTCCATTCCCTCCCTTCTTCCCTCCTTCCTTCCTTCTTTCCTTCCATTCTGTCCTTCCCTCCCTTCCTCCTTCCTTTCCTTCCTTCCATTCCATTTCCTCCCTCCCTTCATCCCTTCCTCCCCACCTCCTTTCTTTTCTTGTTGCATGAACACTTGTTCCTTAGTTCCAGGTGCCTCTAGGCTTCTATTATGTTCAGTTTAGTTAATTCAACATTAACTTATTTGTCCTTTGGCACTACAATTATAAGACCCGATGACACTGATAAGGGGGTATTTGGACAAAATTGACAGAGAACTTACATTGCTTTAGGAGTTGCTGGAGAGGAAGTATGAGTGAGGGAATGACATTTTCCTTTGGAAGTGATGTAACTTTTATGTCTCTATTATTTGTTGGTCATGCACTTGTTAATATAATAAAACAAATTCAAAGATAGTTAGACATTTTACTGGAATTTATTTAATAGGAGCATGGCAATGCTTTTTAATTTTTTTCAAAGGAAAAAAATTAACCTAAATAAAATTCATGTAAAAAAATTAGTCTAAGAGAAATGGTTCAGGTGTGCTACTATTCCTGTTGCAGCGACTGTAATTACCTGTCTGATTACTGTAGTGATTTTCAGGACAGTTCACACATTCATAGCAGCAGATGTGTTGACTTCTTATATTTTTCTTCATTTGTCCAGGACTGCATTCCTTGGAGCATTTAGACTGAATTTGCTACATTAAAAATGAGAAGAAATCCCAAGTAAATTTTAAAAAAGAATTATCCTAACAAATTCTCCTGACTTAATTTGAAGATATATTTACTAAGTAGTATTTTGGTCTTTATTCATAGCATTGTATATATATATTTTTTTGCCATCTTGACGTGAAATATAAACAAGGGCTTAAGATGGAGAAAATGCTTTAAAGCTATTAGAGTATGAGTTAAAAGACAGCCCTATATAAAAAAATGTTTAAATCATCTTGAGAATTCAGGTGATAATCTTCATGTCACAATGTGAATCACATGCAGCATTTTACTTGTATAGAACCAATGCTTCTGATCTAGCTAATAATTCTTTGTACTTCAGCTATGTTATTATTTCAATTCATGGTCTTTTTCTCATGGCATAGCTTTTGAGATAATCTGTGCTGTCATCTCACTTTGTTGGAAGCCAGAGCAGAACAATTAAATGATGCTTTCTCAAGATGCTCTTCTCAGCAATAGCTGAGTCTGGAGCAATCAAAGTTTCAGCTTACCAGTCTTTTCTCTGGAAGATGAAAATAATCTGGCTGAGAGAGAGAAGCACCCAAGATTCAATAGTCCTGGGACCACAAGCACTGGCTGTCTTCTTCTCACCAGTTATTGCTGACCTGGGTTTTCAGCAGGTCATATATAGGTCTTGTGGATTCCACAGGGTAAACTTTAAATCTGAAGGATTCGCTCTCCTGAAGCCCAGAGGATTCAAAAAGATTTAACCATAGGTAAAGCCAGACCTCACTGGGGGATCAAAGTACAGCCTTTCTTCAGAGAAACACAACCCCTTCTCCCTCTCCATTGATCAAGAAGCTGTAAAGACTTTCTAAAATCCTGTATTGATAACTTTGGCATAGTAATAGATTTAGGATTATCAGACATTTTGTACTATGAGTTTTGGTGACTTATTGGAAGTGTTGATACCCCAACCAGCCTGCAGACTAATAAGGAAATCTTGACATATGCCCTAAATGATCCCAGATATTGACCTGATTTCAGGTTTTACTATAACCTTGAAATATTTGTGGGTATCTCCTCCAGCCTCTTCCACATAGACACTGAAAGCCTCACTCAGTTATCTGTCACTCTATCACCTCCTGCTCATTGAGTGTCATCCCTACAGAGTCTAGAGTTAAGTACTGATAACAATTAAAAGTGTTTCTTGCAAAAATGATAGAGAATTTTCTCTGTATTCAATATGAAAATGAATTATCTCTGTATTCAATACAAAAATGAGTCAGAGCATGGTTTAAAGGTCCAGTGCAAGTTATAGTGTTTAGCAAAGTGCTGGGTTCATGATGTGGTTGTGAGGGTGATGGTAATGAAAATGAAAATGAGGGTGAAAGTCTGAGAACACAGAAGAACAGCTACATTTTAATCTTCCAAGGAAGAAGTATTTTATTTTACTGAAACTTCTGACAGGGTAAAATAGACTAAATAAAATGGTTTATCTCATCAAAAAGTGGGCATAGGCCAGGCTTGGTGGCTCAGCCTGTAATCCCAGCACTTCAGGAGGCCAAGGCAAGTGGATTACCTGAGTCCATGGGTTCGAGATCAGCCTGCACAACTTGGTGAGACCTTACCTGGGTGTGATAGTGCATGCCTGTAGTTCTGGCTACTTGGAAGACTGAGATGGAAGGATTGCAGGAGCCCAGCCTGGGTGACAGAGTGAGACTCCAGCTCCAAAAAAAAGAAAAAATAAAAAGAAAAGAAAAGAAAATTGGGCACAGGACATGAATAGACACTTCTCAAAAGAAGACACACAAGAAGTCAACAAACACCAAAAAATGCTCAACATCATTAGAGAAATCATCATCAGAGAAATGAAAATTAAAACCACAATAATATATCACCTCACACCACATAGAATGGCTATTATTAGAAAGCAAAAGAACAACAGATGTTGGCACAGTTGTAGAGAAAAGGAAATGTTCATCCACTGTTGGTGGGAATGTAAACTAGTTCAACCTCTGTGGAAAACAATATGGAGAGTCTTAAAGAACTAAACATTGAATTACCATTTGACCCAGCAATCCTACTACTAGGGATCTACCCAAAGGAAATCAATATATAAAAAGATACCTGTATGCATATGTTCATTGCAGCACTATCCACAATAGCAAAATCATGGGACCAACCTAAGTGCCCACCAACAATTGACTGGAAAAAGAAAATGTATATATACACCATGGAATACTACACAGACATAAAAAAGAATGAAATCATGTCCTCTGCAGCATGGATGGAGCTGGAGCTGGAGATCATCATCCTAAGTGAACTAACTCAGAAGATCAGCATTGCATTTTCTTACTCACAGTCACAGAGATGGAAATAATAGTCACTGGGGACCCCAATAAGGAGGGAGGTGAGAAAGGAGGTTAGGGTTCAGAAATTACCTATGGGCACAATGTTCACTGGGCCATCTGAGACCCAATCCCCACCACTACACAATATGTTCATGAAATAAACATGCGTGTGTACCCCTGAATCTAAAATTTAAAAAGACTATGGTTGACAGCAATACTCTATTCACTCTCTCATTCACCAAATATGTGTCCAGTGCCTATTACATGCCAGACACTGTTATGATTATTGGAGCCACAACAAGGAACATAACACAAAAATCCCTCCTCTCATAGACTTTAAGTTCTAGTTGACAATAAACAAGATAAAAATAAGCAACTTGTGTAGAATGGAAGCTAATGATGGGTACTAAGAAGAAAAATACAGAACAGTGAATAAATACTAGGTTGGTTTGCAATTTTAAAGAGGGTGTTCAAGGAAGTCCTCACTGACATGGTGACAGTTTAGAGAAGACAGAAAGAAAGTGAAAAAATGAACCACAAAGACATCAGAAACATTATGACAGGCAAAGGACACAGTGGGTGCAAAGTCCTTGAGCTGGAGAAGGGAAGGCATGCAGGGAGGAGCAAGAACCCAGGGGACTGTGAGGTCGTGAGTGAGGGGAGGCTGAGAGATGAGGTCAGGGGGTGCTGGGCAGGTTGTGCAGGATGCCCAAAGACCTTAGCTGTCACCTTGGGAGAAGCAGAAGCTATGGGAGGGGCAAGAGCACAGACACCAGTGTGGTGGCAGGAGGCACTGGCATTCTCTTCTGACCCTAGCCAGAGGCACAGACCATCCATCCACAGTGTCGGGTGGAAGGCAGGGGCATGGGCACAAGTGTGGTAGTAGGGGACATGGTGTTCTCTGTGGATTGTTTCAGCTTGGTTAGAATAGCAAACAATCAGCTGAAAGTGAGGCTAGGGAAGGGGTATTGAACTCATAGGAGGGATGAGGAAGCATGGAATAGCCATCTAGGAAGGTGGGTGACTCCATGGACCAGGGCAATGGTCTGAATGCCTGGTGGCATTAGCCCACTGGAGGTGAGAGATCATGAATTTACCGAGAGACCAGTCAGCAATGTTTTCCTTTTTTTCCCCCAAGTTCAGCTGCATAGGGGCCACATTGAATTTAACAAGGGTTGTGTTTTGACTGAATGAGTCTGATGAAGAGTACGGGGGCAAGGAATTGAGAGTGTGTACAAGGGATCATTACATGAACTGATCGTGGAATTCAAGGAGGGAAAGTGTGGACAGTAATCAGGCAGGCAGATTACTGGGGGTCTTGATGGGTTTTGCAGGTGAGATATCAATTGATCTGAATACTGCAAAGCAGCAAAATCACCTTAAGATTCCTGAACTCGTTCTTCGCTTCTTGATTCATGATGATGAAGACATCCTTCCGTAGGTCGTATTCTGCCATCTTGGTGACAGTCGTGTGTCCACTGATCTCTTTCCAGAGCACAACATCATATCCTGTGTTTAAGTCCCCATGAGCATCAAAATGAAATGAATTTCCTCCATCGGTGAATGTCACATTTTGTAGCACATCAAGTAACTATAAAAAATAAAAACAGAAGCAAGCACTGAATATATATAGTTAAGTGTATCCATTGTTCCACATATAACACTGCCTTATAAGGGATGACACTTAGAAATGAGAAATGAGAAAAAAGGAATTGCCAGATCAAAGATTCGGGGTTCTTAACCACCTGGCAACAATTTGTGAATGGATTTCACTTGGATTCTAGCCTCAGTTCTGTCCAAGTTTTCCTAAGTGAATTGGAGAAAGCAAGTTAACTCCTATGAATGGTAACTTCTTTAGAATATAAGGTTGAACTCTGAGCATCTGTATTTATCCACACTGCAGAATTTCAGAATGGGTCCTCTGGGCAGATGCCTGGGTGCTAGCTCTGGTTCCATCTCTCATTAGTACAATTACCTTCCATCTGATTTCCAAAGGTTCTTCAGTCTGTTTTAATAAGTATGTAGTAAAGTGATCTCTAAATTCTACTTTTAAAAAAAATTTAATTCATAAAATTATTTTTTTAACTTGAGGGAAAATAAATGTAATGAAATACATTGTCTTGCTGCCCAATTTTACAGTGAGAATGATGTACAATAGTATTAGGACAGGAAATGTTTTACTGACAAATGGGGTGACCAAATTGAGCTTGTGCTGCAGTGAGGAACACTAGGCTAGGAGGCAGGAACACTGGCTGCTGTGCTGGCTTCACTGTTAATATGATATATACATATGCTAACTAAATACCCTCTCTGAATGCGCTCATGATGGCCCTCCCATTACCTGGTGGCTTTATATAGAACATGTTGGCTACAAAGTCTACAGAGTAAGACAGAAATAATTCATTTGAATAGAATTATCCTAGTCTGTTCCTTTTTGGTTAATTTTCATGAATGCTTTGTTTTTTTGTCATTAGAATATTTAACTATCAACTTGTATTTTAAGGTAAATATATTAGCTATAATAGTCATGTCAATGACCAATGTCACATTTGAAAAATCTCTATGTGTGTGTGTACTGATTTTATTATATAGTCCCACAGATTTCTTAGTCCTTTTAATGAATGCAAATTTATTAGTATTACTTTAAAGAATAAGAATATCAGATCTAACATATTGGAATTAACTAACACAATTTTATGATAACAATTAGGGGGAACACAAATAAAAGCATATGTAAGGGTCTCCTCTCAATGTCCTCCTTTCTTCCTGTTTTCTGGGTATTCTCCTGTTCCTTCCTTAAGCAATAGACACATGTAAGCCCCATGAACTCAGTTCTTTAGGGAGCATTCCTAAACTCATTCCTGTGTTTGAACTATGATTTCTATCTATTTTGTCTGCATTTAATTAGGCTTTATAAGGTAAAGGTCTGACACATATGTTTTGTAAATAATAATAAAATTATATAATGTAAATAAACTTGTTCTTACAGAAAGAGGGTGAAGGTGAATAAAACAGTACATTCATTACTCATGACATATGATAGAACAATTGGCCTGAATAAAGGTGAATTCTGAACATTAGCATTCTAGTTATTAAGCTGTTAAATGTTTTTTTCATCAATTTCTTTTCATGGAGACTCTGAAATTCATTATAAGTAGACACGACAAAATTCGTGAATGGTAATGTCCTGTTTTTGAGAACATAAGGCCAGAAGAACACACTGATTAGGGTGTTAGGGCTGATAATGTTTTCCACTTCCCTGCCTGAGCTGATGTCTCCCCTGTCTCCATAAGTAAACTTGCTGTGGAAAGAGGTATCTATGTGACCACATTGGAGAACAGCAGAGGAAGTAGCCTCACATCTCTGTCCTGGTGCCCAAACCACGTGTTTTTCTTTTGTGAAGTTTTCCATGGTGTAGCAGGAAGCACACTGAACTCAGGCTAGGACAATTTCAGGGATAACTATGTGATTGACCACAGGATAGACCTTCATAGTTGAGGTCCCTTCATCTCTAAACTGCAGCAAGTCTTGGCCATCAAGAACACTCTTCTCCAAGATGGGTGTAAAGAACATGTATCCTGTGGGCATGCCCTAATATTAAAAAGGTCAGAAATGATGTGTGTCAGGACTTAGAGCAGTAGGCCTTAAACATTATCAGTTATTGTTATCCTTCCCACCCTCCAGATCACTCTCATACCTCTCCTGACTTTTGAACTACCACTGTTACACTTGCAGGCCTCACACATGCCTCAAATTCAGTCTTTCTAAAATGAAATGCTTCCTATTTCTTCTGCCCACCAGAGCTTCACTTTTCTCTGTATTTTGAGCTCAACAAATGGCACAGCTTGCCCAAATTTGCAATCCTTTGCAAAAGCTTTGCTGTTGTCTGTCATCCTTTACATCCAGTCTGTCTCCAAACACTCTTCATTCTCTCTCTTAAACATTCATGCATCTCTCTCCATCCTTTCTGTTCCATCTGTAATACCAGGCATTCTTATCTTATGTTTGGATTACCAACAAATGGACTTCCTCTCTCCAGTTTTGTGTCCCTCTAGTCAATTAACACTGCAGTCGGCATGCTCTTCTACAATGAATATCATATCCTATCATTGCCTAAACATATCTTTAAATGGCTCCCCTTTGCTCTCTCAAGCCAGAGCATTTAAACACAGTTTGCAACTTTTCTATTTAAAATCAGTCACCTGGGAGACTGTTAGAGATGAGGTGTTCAGATTCCACTGAGAAACTCTTGAGTCATCACCTGTGGAATGATGAGGTTCCCAGGTCATCCGGCAGCACACTGAATGAAGCATGAGATGCTCTAATGACAAGCCCCTGGAGTGTGTTCTTCACTAACTCTGGACTCATTTGCCCACAGCTTCCCTGCAAGACTCCAGTCCTGGGTCCTATTTTCTGCCCCCAGGTCCAAAGGATCCTGTGCCTTCTCTTTGCTTCAGGATGTCTGTTCTGGCTGACTCCTACTCATCCACCATATTCACCATCGATGTCACGTTTTTTGAAAGAAGTTATCTGAATGGCTAGTGCTGGACTCAGTTATGTGTTTCCCTGCCATCTTGCGTTTATATGAGACACTGTAATGCATCATCCTACATGTAATCAGCTTCTATCCCTGTATTAGTGTGATTGTATACCCCACTAGGAGGGAGTTCTGTTGTGTTCTCCATAATGTCTTCAGCACTCAATGCAATGTCTGAAACATGGAGACATCAACAGATATTTGCTAAATAAATATATGAATATATATAAATATTTGTGTCTTTCATCTCACATACACCACCTACTACTTATATATTATCAGAAGTAAAGGAAAGAAAACAAAAACAAATCACTAGTCAATACAAGGAAGTGGTATCTTCACATACATCAGAGGAACATTAAAAATCTGTTGAAGTAAACAAGCTGGTGACTGTACTGTCCCTGAATGTTGCTCACAAATGTTACTAAATAGAGGGCCAAAGTAAGTATTGACCCCAAACACTGAGAAAAATGAACCTCTTTAAAATTATTTGAATCTTGTCATTCAAAATTATCATTTAAATATTAGTGAATTTTGCTAGAAGACCAAGCAGTCCTCAAGAATGTATTGTTGATTGGGGACCCTAAATGTGGCTGATCCTTTAAGTTTAAGGCTATGGAGATTTCTTCATGAAAATACAACTTTTTGCATTATTTGTCCTACTGAATCTGGCACTGAGCAGCTTTGGTTCACTCACATCTTGATCAAAGGAGCAAGTCACTCGCCTCCCTGTTGATTCTTTCCAGCCTGTTTCTGCTTGTTTCTAGATTAACAGGCTCTGAGAGGGGAAAAAAACAACCACAGGATCCTAGTGTTTAAATAAAACATTTCAGAAGAACTCTGCTTAGATTATTCTCTCTCAAGTCTTTTCCTCAAAATATCTGAGGGTTATTAATGATTTAAAATATGTTCCCAGATCTCTGGTGGATAAATAATGCTTTCTTTTTCTTAATGAGGTTCTTTTTATCCCTGCCTCTTTATGCTGTCTGTCTCTATGACTATTTCCATTTCTCTTTCTCAGCCTTTCATTTCTAAAATTCTATGTAGTGATTCCACTATGACAGCCTACCTCTAAAAATAAAAAAAATAAGTTTTTCTTCAGTGCATCAGGCCAAAACAATTGAAAAATGAACTTGGAGTACAATGAAGAATGGTGAACAAAAAACATAATTTATGTTTTTTTTTTTTTTTTTTACCACGCTCATTAAAGTTTTATACTACTGAAGGAATGCTTTCAAGTAGGCATCTTATTTCAACATATAAATGCATTTATATATATATATATTTTGAGTTGGAGTCTCACTCTGTCTCTCAGACTGGAGTGCAGTGGCTGCTCCCAGACACTGCACCTTGACCTGCTGGGCTCCGGCGATTCTTCTGCCTTAGCCTTTCAAGTAGCTGGAACTACAGGTGCGCGCTACCATGCCCGGCTAATTTTTGACTTATTGTAGAGATGAGGTCTCGCCAAGTTGCCCAGGCGGGTCTCAAACCCGTGGGCTCAGGCAATCCACTCACCTCAGCCTCCCAAAGTGCTGGGATTACAGGCTGAGCCACCGAGCCCGGCTTTTGTGTGTGTGTGTGTGTGTGTATACATATTTTTTTTAAAAGAGAGTTTTAATTCTTAAAAAGGTACTGCTCTTTAATTTTACCTCTTAGATTTTTGGCTTTGCATTTACAGAATGAAAAGTGGTTTAAAGGTGAACAATTTAAAACACCCTCTGACTATCACATGATTTTCCTTAATGTAAACTGGTCAGCTCAGATCTTGGAGCTGGTATTTGCAGGTATTTTAATTAAAAATACAAAAGTAGAAAGAACCTGTTCTGATATCCACTTACATGACCAGAAGAATTGAGTCTTACTTCTTTTGTCTCCCTTTCTGTTACAAATTTAAACTATATACATTTTGTAACACGATTCTACCTTAAGCCATACATGTTTGGCTTTGAATACACATTAGAGAGAAATTTGTCTCTAGTAAAACCTGTCATCATTAAAATACATAATTTACTTTTAAATTCCTTGCTCGAGGACATTTTAGAAAATACAATGGAAATTTCTTACTAAAAGAAGCCACATTAAACTTGGAGTTTCTTCAAACTAAACAAAGATAAGAAAGGGAAAAAACTTCTTTCACACACAACTGGCAGTTCCTTTAAACTTGGAATACATAATTGACCTAACAACATACCTTTGAAAAGGACTGAAGTCTTAAGGAGAGCATCCTAATTGAGAAAGTCATAACTGGAGGTGTTGGGATTATAAACGACCAGAGACACAGTGATAAGCAGAGGGTATGGAGTCAGAAGATCAGACTGCATCATATTTTTGGTACTTCCTAGCTTAGGGTTTTCTCATCCATCACATTTAGTAAAATCAAAAAGGATCATTAATCTTGTCTGATGTAACCCTTGTGCTTGTTAAGAGAATTAAAAGAGATAATTCATATGACTCAAGGAAAATAGCACCATCAACTGCATTTTCTTGGGAAATAAAAGAACACAGCTTTGGTGGGTCTTTAGGAAGAAAGGGCTATGTTAGAAATGCAGGTTATTTAAACACTGAAGGTGTCTATGTATAAAAGGAATAAGATTAAGAGAAATTAACATAAATCTTTGCAAATTAAAGTAAGGAAGGAAATGGGGAAAATGATGGTAGAGGGATCTTCTTGGATATTTGAGTGACTACCTGCCATGGTTGAAAGGCGTTGGGGTTCTGACAGTCTCGAGTTTGGCACAGATCCCGGATGGCATAACCAAGGGCAAACACTGCGAGCTGAATACTGTGAATGAGTCCTGGCTCTGTAAAGTTCCAGAGGAAGTCATTTCTCAGGAGCAAGTTCCTTTCTATAGCCTTGTTAGCTTCATAGGCCAAAACCTCCTGAGATTGGTTGAAAATGCATTGACTCAATTCGCTGTTCTTGACGTATGCACAGGCAGACAAAAGCATGATATATTCATGTAAGGGTTTGTTGTTGTCACTGGGAAGCACATGTAGGTTTTGAAGAAAGGAATGGAAAGAGGATATGTTCCCTCTTCTAAAGGTAAACCCCACAACTTTGCCAATCTTTTTAACATTAGGAATAGCGGTAACCATGGTAGCAGTTGACCAGTTATCACTGGCAATCCAGATCTTACGTATATTCTGTTCAATGGCTTTAGTGAAGAGACTGAAAACGTGGAATCGTCTCAGGAATACCACAATGACATTAACCTGGGCTTCTGCAATGATTCTTTCAAGTGTCTGATGGATTCTGACTTCAATAGTGTTGTCTGAGAGGAAGGTTGGCAGAATCTCTTTGAAGGCTATGCACACATTGTTTGCTGCAGCTTGAGTTACAAAAGTGTTGAGAGCCAGGCGTCCATAGTCGTCGTCTGTGGTTATAATGCCAACCCAGTTCCACCCAGATTTCTGAATCAGGTGAGCCATTGCTTTAGTTTGGTAGAAGTCACTGGGCACAGTTCGTAAAAATGAAGGAAAACGAATTTTATCACTCAGAATTTCTGCAGTTGATTCATAACTCACCTGGAAGTGGAGAGACTCTTTTAGTTATGGTGCTGATGGACCCTAGGTGAATATTTGCAGTAGGTGTTACGTTCTTTGATTTCTATGAGTTTCTATAACCTTTCCCTAAATTCTCTGGTCCTTTCTATACTTCCTCTTCTACGAATTACTACTTTTAAGAGCGCTTTAATCATGACACTTAGCATGTGATGATAGTTTAGAATCACTGCTCTCTAATCATTTTATGTTACATTTAGTATATACTCTCTGAGGGTTCAGGCATCTCATATCTCCATTCACCTCTATATCCATCTTTATCTCTGACCAGGGACAGTAGTCGATAGTACTTATACATAAACATAAACACAGGAAAAATATTTGACTGGGCAGTCAAATAAGCAAAATGCATTTTGGGACATCAGTATGTGAGAAATCTTGTCAAATTCATTCTCTTGGAGATTTTATTCTAGGTAAAATTATCCAGTCAAATAAGTATCTAGTCCAGGGGTCAGCAACCTTTCTCTGTAAATAAACAGATGTAAAATATTTTAAGGTTTTTTGGTAACATATAGTCTCTATAATATCTTTTTTTCATTACAATCCTTAAAAAAATGTCAAGATCATTTTTGCTTGACAGTTGCAGAGCATGAGAGCCACACTGGGTCTTGGGCTATGGCTTTCTGACCCAGATCTCGTCATAACCCTCATCATTTTGGAAGACCTGCCTACTGTGTGCAAAGTTCTGCCTGGGAACTTCGGTGATTTTATTCTGGGGAGATTTGTTACCTTCCATAGATGCAATAACAGTATGTCACTTGCTCAGCATTTTTTTTTCTTTTTACTATTTCTAACAGACATATGGTATGGTAGAAAGACAATAGGTTTTAAGGCCCGACAAACTGCTAGAATCCTGAATCCCGATTTCAATAAATCTGGGAACGTTACTTAATGTTTCTTTATCTGTAAAATTATAGAACTCCTATTAAGATAAAAGTAGAAAATTTAATAGATACAGGCACACAGTAAACTTTTACTCAACCTGAGGTGTCTTTCCAGCACTTGACATTGCTGTGCTCTGTCACATTGTAAGGCTGGGCTTCTGTAAGACCAGTGTTACCCATGGAGGTTCCCCTTTCCTTTTGTGTCGTCTACATATAAATCACATTTTTACATTAGTCAGCTGTTAAAGTAATCTACTTTTCTTATTTATTTCCTAAGTATTGTACATAGTCTAGACATTTTAAGCCAAAGTCTTATTTCTGATGTGTTTGGGGAATAATTATTTTTGTTTTGTCATTTTGAACTTAAATTTTTTATTACCAACATCACTAGGCTATCATATAATGAAACTCTGAGGATCTTTTGGGGTATATGTATTTATTTACTGTACCTCCAAAATGCTATATATTTTGAATTCTTACACACATTAATTATGTTATTTTTTTCTGTCTCCTCACTTCTACCAGATGATTATTTCTTGTTAATCTTTTGGCTTTTTTCTTTGTTTTTGTTTTGTTTTTGAGTCAGAGTCTCACTCTGTTGCCCATGCTGGAGTGCAGTGGCATGATCACAGTTATGGCAGCCTCCTGAATAGCTGGGACTATATGAACACACCCGGTTAATTTTTGGTAGAAACAAGTTTTCACTATATTGCCCAGGCTGCTCCCAAACTTTTGGGCTCAAGCAATCCTCTTACCTCGGCCTCCCAAAGTGCTAGGATTACAGGTAGGCGCCACTGTGCCTGGCTTAATTTTGGGTTATAATCTTCCTTGAGTTTAGAAAGTAGTAACCTAGAATGTTACAAAGTAGTGTGATATGAAGGAAAGTAGGCTTAAAGTGAAAGCCAAGGGGACTTTCTTGTCTCTGAATACTGTGCAAGGGCTTAATACACGGCACCCTGATACCCGTTTTGGCTTTTGAGAGACCTTGCCTACTTTCCAGTTGCTGGCTTGCATTCCAGGAAGATAAGTAGCTCTCTAGACTCTCTGCTCAAAGCCTTCCATTCTTACTCAGAACAAAATGCAAGCCATACCATGGTTTGTTAGATGCTACATGACCTAACCTTTGCATGTCTCTTCATATGCATCTCTTACTATCTTCTTTTGTACTCAAACTGATCTAGCCAGATTGACCTTTTTGCTATTCCATGTACATTTCATTACTTACTGCTTTCTTGGCCAGATACTCTCCTTCCCTCTCCCATCTTTCCTTGGCACCCCGTCTCATTCAAGTTTGAGGCTAAACAGCACCACCTCGAGAAGTCATCCTTGATTCCTATATCCCCTTACCTCTCACTCTTTTTAGTTTTCTTCATAGCACCCACCTTGTGTTATTTCAGAAACAGGGCAGTTGAAGCCCCAGAGGTTTGTGTCTTATCTAAATCAAGCTGAAACCTGTCAGAAACTAGACCTGACAGATTAAAGGATGGTTTGATTAAGATTAAGGGATGACCCCCCCGGTACTTTCCAATTGCTGTCTGTAATGTGGCGCATCTTTAACTGGAGAGACATAAAGGGTAAAGTAAAGCTACTTCCTAACTACTTTCCCCAGGTTCCCCTGATCCTTTCACAATAGTGGATATGATCAAAGCCAACGTGTGAAGGTAGAAAAAACCTACCTGTGGCATGAGCTGTAAATTCAACATCCTGGAGACAGCCATAGTTATTTCGGAGTAGCCAGCACCTATGACAGCCTTAACTCTTGGCATGTAGCTGGAATAGTCACACTTGAACTCCACAGTTTCTCTGGAGCAGTTGATTTTAGAAAGAAACCTCAGGGCAGCTGCCATGGCCACTGTGACTTCTGTACAAGTGTCATAGATTTCATAACCCAGTTTGATTCCAGATAATAGTGTTGAATTATTGATAATCTCAATGGTGTGTATCATGGCAAGAGTTTGAAGAAAGGTTGATATTTCAAAGCTGTTGAGAAATAAGCGTTTTTTGAAATCAGAATACAACTCTTCTACTGACATGGTGATATCCAATTTTATCAGCATCTCTGTCTTATAATTTCTGGATGAGTGAAGCTTACCTTTTGAAGGATCTAAGCTCTATCTTAAAATAATTTTTAAGCCGGGCTCGGTGGCTCAGCCTGTAATCCCGTGCCTTTGGGAGGCTGAGGTGAGTGGATTGCCTGAGCCTGCGGGTTTGAGACCCGCCTGGGCAGTGAGACCTCATCTCTACAATAAATCAAAAAATCAGCTGGGCGTGGTAGCACATGCCTGTAATTCTGGTTACTCGGAAGGCTGAGGCGGAAGGATTGCCGGAGCCCAGCAGGCGAGGCTGCGGTGGCCGGGAGCGGCCACTACACTCCAGTCTGGGTGACAGAGTGAGACTCCAACTCAAAAAATAAAAAAATAAAAAATAATAATTTTTAGTGGAAACCTTTATAAAGAGTAATATAAAAACCCACAGTTTCTTAAATGAAGTCTAAGATACATAATTTAACCTTCTTTTGATGAGTTTTGGAATCATTTTGAACACTCAGCTTAGTCCTCTGCAATTTGAAACTGTGTCTGATTTTTGTTCCTTTTTGTTGTTAAATATCAGCATTTTCTTGCTGTCAAAGTATCTGCTTTTTAGACTCATACGCCCCTCTTCCAGTTTTCTGGCTCTAATCCGTTGTGTTTGGAAACCAGAAAGATAAGACTTGTAAGAATTAAATTTAACAGACTCCGAGTAGAGCCCAACAATCTTCTCCTAGATCAAGTACCCTATTTTAGTTCTGAGGCATCACTATTTCCACATTCAGAGGGTATTTCCTATACTTTCTGATTTGTGACTATTCCAGAACCCTGAGTGATTTGCTTACTGATTTACTGTTAAAAGTATCTCAACCATGGCTGTATAGAAAAAGAGTACAAATAGTGCCTAATACATAAAAAAGATTCAATAAATGTTTTATTTTTAATGAATAAAAAGGGATATTATTGTTCAGGGTTTGATATCCTAAAATTTCCTTTTAGCTCATAAACTATTTTAATATTACTGTCTGTCCTTGTGGACCATCTCAACATGAAATCTGGCAAGTCAGCATTTCAAATTTTAATTAAAAAAAAAAATACACCCAGCTCATTGCAGCCAGCACCAACACCAACACACATTGCTCAGGAACCAGAGGGTCTTCCTGTCACTGTCACTACCATTGTCCACACCACACCAGCTGTCTAAGGGCCTGAGAACTCATCCACCTGCCAAGTCCATGACTACCATGATTAGCATTTGAGCAAGCCACCTGGAGGCTTTAGGATTGGCCTGCCTGGACCCACTAACACCGGTGCCAGTGTGTGCTGCCCTGGGGCCCAAGGACAGGCACGCTTAGCCCACAGCTGCTACCACTGAGGGGCCCAAAGACTGGCTTACTTGGCATCATAGTCTGCAGCAAAACTCTGCCACAATCTCCACTAATAGCTACACCCTAAGCCACTGAGGACATCTCAGATACCACAGATGCTGTTTACAGTCAGAGAAATTTTACAACAATGAGCTTACTGCAAGCACACATAGTCTGAAAGCATTCTTAGAGGGCTTGGTAGATACTTTTTGACAACTTAAGAGAGGTAAGAGAAAAAAGGAGATTAAAATTACACATAAAATGCCAAGATAGAAGCAGTATTTTAGAGTCGGAAGAAAGCATGGGTATCACATGTCAGAGCAACGACACTGATGCTGCCTGCTTTGTCAAAGGCTATCAAGGCCCTTATTTTATACCTGAGGAAATAGAAACTGGAACCCAAAGAGTTGAAGTGATTTTCCTAAGTTTGCAAAATTAATTTGTCCCCAAACTAAAATAAGCATCAACTATCCTGCTCTCCTGAGAGAAAATCCACTGTCAACTCCTTCCACCCCACTTTCCTCTTCCCACTGTGCTGTAGTTAAGCCTTCACAATGCAAAGCATTCGTCAGGGAGAAAGAAACACTATGAGCTGGGAAGGGTCTTCATTTATGATGAAAGAATTAAATTATTTCAATAATGAAATAAAGGCAGCATTGACAATGATGTTCATGTGAGACAAAATTTAACTGTAGTCTATTTTAAACAAAGCATTAAATAATAGGCCCATGTGCTAAACAGATACCTGCTGTAGGTGATGGGAGTGCAGAGGGTCATGCATGTTTGCAGTAAAGAATGGGTGTCTTCTCAAGTGACTTCAGGGATTATTTTTTAAGGAGAAATCTGAAAAGATGCATTAATGAACAGCATTCATTGCCTCTGCACTTGTAGGATTACAAGAATAACCACACACAACTTAAAATATATATGAATTTAATTTTATTAAAACAATTTAGATGTGAGTACAAACACACAGTTTCCATCTCTTAGTCTCAAGGCACAATCCTGAAATATAAATATGTTTTTAGAGGATTTACTCACCCAACACACTTCTGGATTTGTGGTCGTCTGGGATGGTCTTCTGAGGACAACATTTTTTCATGAATGGCAAACAGACCTCCAATTATGACATGTCCTGGAGAAGTGGCAGCCACAAAGTCATCAGGGGTCTGGCAAGGCTGGGAAGTAGCAAAAATAATGACAAAGCAAGTAATCAGTATGATCAATAATGCCATGTTTCTATCTCATTTGCTCAGTTCATGTGAGTTCTTAAGAATCATTAAACTCACACAGTGCCAACAACAAGATTCCTATTTCATCTATAAACACCTTGTAAGGCATAAGACAGTGTCAAGGGCCAGAGACTTTCAATATGCAGATACTTGATGACAGTCAAAACAGTTCTTTCACCAGTAAGAACATATCAGACCGTCTCTAATACTCCAGTTTTGCAGATTTGTGATAGTAGTCATGCTGGGTAAGAGCAGATAGCATTGTACATACCGGTCTCACTAGAATAGTCTAGTATTATGGTAAGGGCTTTGAGTCATGCTGGTGTTTCTTTTAAAGTGGAATGTAGGACCTTCAGGAAGAAGTAGTTTGTGAAAATTTAGAAATTTCCACTTTAGAAATGGAAAGTTCTGTATTTTCAAAGGAATCACATTCGGGACACAAAGAATTCAATATAGTTTATTAGCTTAGGTAAAAAGCATCTTACTTTTATTTTTTCTGAAAAGCTCTATTAAAAAAGTGAAATCCAGTTAAATCTAGGTATTTGTCACTCTTACTTTACATGTGTTAGAAATAAGTAGCTTTTATGGTGATGGGCACAACTAAAAATAAGATGAAACTTGTCTAATGTAGTGTTTGGCTTTGAACAGGAAAGGCCTGTCCATGGATCATTGACATTTCTACCATTGTCTATGCTATTTTTAGAAATTTAAGACTCATTGCAGGCTACATGTTCTTGAATGCTTAGAAATCTAAATGAATTTATTCTGCTGAGTATCTTTTGGAATTTAGCAAAAGCTAGATAAACCTCAGAAACGTAGGCACTATTAAAGTTTAAAGTTTTAAAATTTGTTTTTCACTATCTTTAAAAAATTTTTATTTTAAAGATGTGGGATACAATTCAGGATTAGGTATATAAGTGGTCATCATAAAAATATCTGACTGAAAAAGAATATCCCATGAGCAAGCAGTTACAAATTCAGTAGATCCAGTTGTTTAATGGGTAGCAGATACTTCTAAAGGAATTAAAAAAAAATTAAATAGTACAATGGTCACTGCAGCATTTCCTTTTTTGGAGTCAGAGGCTCACTCTGTTACCCAGGATGGAGTGCAGAGGCCACGAATCCCATCATCAGCTACTTACCACTTTTATCTCTTGTGCTAATGTCTTACATGTATATTTTATCTGCCCATATTTCCTAGTTTCTCATGGGCGCACTATTACCTTTTTTTTAAAGTCAGGGTTTTGCTCTGTTGCCCAGGCATGAGTGCAGTGACACGATCACAGCTCACTATAGCCTTCAACCCCTACGTCAGCCTCCAGAGGAGCTGGGATTATAGTCAAGTACCACCACACCCAGCTAATATTTTTATTGTTTTGTAGAGAAGAGGTCTTGTTATGTTGCCCATGTTGGTCTTGAACTCCTGGCCTCAGGTGATTCTCCCACCTCAGCATCCCGAAGTTCTGGGATTATAGGCTGTGAGCCACTGCATCCAGTCGTATCTGCAGCTATCTTTATGTGAAGAGGTAGCTGGTTAAAATTACTTAAAAGTAGTATGAAAGTGAGACTGCTCCCCAAGTAATTCTCATGAAGATCCTGTTGCTCTGGTTGGACAGGTATTATGGGAAATCATGATCACTTTTTTCTCATATGATGAGTCTGTAGCACTGAAGATGGGTCGCTTTCCTAGATGAAAGACTACTGTGAAGACCAGGTCAGGCCGAACATGGTGCTTCGGGAACAGAGCACAAGGACAGTGACAGCACTTGACAGAATTCTGGTGAGTGTAGTGAGATGCCTTCCCTGAGCACTTGAGTTGTCCTCCTGCTACCCCAGCTTCCCAGTGACCCTCCTCAAACACATAACCCCTTTCCTACTTCACTTCAAATTAACAATTAATTTCAAATTAACAATGATACCACAAAACTGTTTCCAGTGTGGCTTGCATCTGCAATAAGGTTTTTAAAGCAGAAATGTCTTCAAGCTTAAGGGAATAAATTAAAACAACAGAATTTCAGCTATCTCCAAGTGGGAAGAGGGGACACACAGCATAGCTGTGGGTTGCGGAGGCCTTGGGACCACATGACACAGGCAGCTGGCCTGACATAATAGGTCATAGTGCTGGCCCTGAAAGGAAGGAAGAAGCCGACACCAATGTTATGGAGGTGGGTGCCAATAGCTACAGCCAGGGGAAAATAAACAGAACTTAAGAATGAGTTCCCGGTCATCATTCCATATTGTCAATCTCTTTCAGTTTTTCTTTTTCGGGGTAGTGCAAACAAAAATATATTTAGCTAAAACAAGCAGTATCCAAAACACAATACCACAATTTCATTTTATTTGATCAACATTAAATTTGAATGCATTTTTCTGTCTGTGGTGTGTTTCTCTCCTGTAATAATCCTTTGCTGAGAAGTCACAACAGGAGAGATTGTACTCTTAGGAACACAGCCGTAAGCACTGAGCCACCAATCCCATCATCAGCTACATACCACTTGCATCTCTTGTGCTAATGTCTTACATGCTTATTTAATCTGCTCATATTTCCTAATTTTTCATGGGCACACTATTACCTTTTCAACAAGACTAAAACTTTTGAACAAAAAGGCTGTGACAGGTACACTTCTTTGTACCTTTCATAGCTCAGTGTTTTACTGACAGTTTTGTGATGTATTTAACTATTTTACAAATATATTGCTCAGTTTGATCATATTAACAAGTCATCAGGCTCATAGAAGATAGATGAGACCCAGAAGATTAATCCAAGCTACAGTTCTCACTAGATATGATCTTCAGCATTTACTGTCTATTGCTATTTTCATTTACTAAAAAAAAGAAAATGTCAATTCATATTGCTTAATCAGCATTGAGTGTTAACAAAGGCTATCACTGCACTTGAGATCAAAAGTTCAATAAAGCTTCTGCTCAAGGAAAAATTGCAAGGCAAAAACCTAAATCCCCAATGGACCCAGCTAAGACACTTATTTAACTTAGTTGGATTTCAAATATATCAAAAAGGGAAAGACTGGTCTTTAGCAAGGTCATGAATAGCGGAGTCAGATTTTTGGTCCTCTTTCCCCAACAGGTATCCTGTTCCCCTGCTCTTAGCCATCTGGCTGAGTAGTCCATCACTGTGCTATTCCCTACTGAATTATCATTTGTCACTGCCACACTCTGCTCCATCATGTACCATCTTCTCCTGCTGTACCCTTGTCTATAATTGAAATCTACCTCCTAGTATTTCTTACTCAATATGTAGTTTTAACATTAGATAATTAATTTTCTTCAATGTGCAAAATAGAGGATATTATCTTACTGAGGGTACTCTAGAAAGATGGACTTCATGGACATCTGTGAATCTCCTGAAATTGTATAAACATTCTGCGTGAACATACATTTGCAGATTTTTCTGGAAAGAGAATTCAATGCTTTCATCAGATTATGAAAGGGTCCGTTGCTCCCAGAAAAATCAAGAACTTTTGTCTATTCCATTAGAACACTATCAAATCTATTAGAACAAATTGAGCCCTGCTTCCCAGGAAACACAGGAAGGTTTTCTGAGACAATGATCCTGCCTTTGTTGTTACCTGTTTGTAACTCAAATCATCCTCACTAATTTCCCACCAACAACTTGAAACACATCACCATTAATACCACCAGCCACAAGACTATGTTAGCAAAGTATTATTGCCTACAAATAACTTCTCATCTATCCTACAGTAGAACCCAGGCAGATCACTACTCTAAGAGGATCAGATTTACTTATCTTCCTTACCACAAAATGAAGTAGGGAATGGTTATTTTTTGGATGATGTTAAGTAATAGCAACAATAGTAGTCTATAGTGCTTTATTAGTTTAGAACAGGCTAAGTGTTCACTTTTCAAAGTTATTTTCTATTAAAAAAATTCTTTTCTACCAATTACTGTATGAAAAGCTAACTGCTATTGAAACATTTATTTTGTTGTTTGAAAAGGCATACATACTAGTTGACCCTTGAACAACATGGGTTTGAACTGTGTGGGTTCACGTATACTAGAATTTTCTTCTGCTTGGCTACCCCTGAGACAGCAAGCCCGACCCCTCCTCTTTCTCACATCCCCAATCTCCTCAGAGTGAAGATCATAGGGCTGAGATCTTCCTGATGATCTACTTCCACCTAGTGAATAGGAATTTATCTTCTTTTTCTTATGCTTTTCCTAATAACATTTCTTGACTTTATTGTAAGAATACAGTATAGAATACACAAGACATAAAAAATACATGCTAATGGACTGTTTATGTTATTGGTAAGGCTTCCAGTCAATCATGGGCTATTACTGGTTACATTTTGGGGGAATTTTTACTGCACAGTGGTGAGACAGGGGATGGCAAATTAAACCCCTAAATTGTTCAAGGGTAAATTGATTACATCTTATATACACATGTTCCTCTCACTCAAGAGAACAAGAACTCTAATATTTGAAATTACCACCTAGCTCTATCTTACATAGTCTCATATAGAATAGCATCCTTTCCACAGCCACAATATTATAGTTCTAGTTATAAAAATTATTTATTTTGTCTAACTCAGCACTAATTGCAAAACAAGCAATAAAATTCAAATCCTGAAGGATCTATCAGTTATGTACCTCAGTGTTTAATCATTACCTCACCTTTTTTATGTGTTGACTAAATCTGTCATATTGCAGGTTGTATTTTCAGTGCCATTATTAAAAAAATTAAAAGGTTTTAGTCTTTTTGCATAACAAGTTTAATAAGCTTGAAAGCCATTTTTTATATAAAGCTCAATTGTAAATCCAGTGAAAAGTCTACCAAATCACTATTTTTTTTTTTTTTTTTGAATTGGAGTCTCACTCAGTCGCCCAGACTGGAGTGCAGTGGCCGCTTCCGGCCACCGCAGCCTCGCCTCCTGGGCTCCGGTGATCCTTCCGCCTCAGCCTTCTGAGAAGCCGGAATTACAGGCATGTGCTACCACGCCCGGCTGATTTTTTTTTGATTTA